GTATATGTCAGTAATTTTATGAGATACGGTTATTTTTTGTGGAGATGAACAGTAACTATGGAAATAGGAGCAGAAGATGTATGCTTTGTTTTTGTGGTGAAAATAAAAACTTGTTCAGGAGGGCCTGAGGTCATCTTGAGCTGCCTTCTTCCAAACAGAAGGAAAACCAGACTGATAACCAATTACTACTTGGAGGCACTGTGTCCCCGAACCAACTTGATAATGACCTGGAGGGAAGATTTGCTCTAGGTCTGCAGGCCCTGCCTGATGGCACAGTCTGCCCTCACCAGCTCCATGAAAATTCACAAGACTCGGTCACTCAGCTTCTCATACTTGACAAGCTCATAACCATCTCCTTTGTTTCACTGCTGGTATTTCTAGGCGTTCACCTGGTGAACACTGTATAAGGAAGCATCTTTTCTGTTCTTAGGCTGTATCACCTGCACTGCGTTCATCAAAAATGCCGACGGTTGGGACTGAAGACCGACCTCTTGGAAAGGATGGAAGAGCCGCTGTTCCTTACCCACCAAGTAAGAAAAGGAAATTGAGCTCTGACATCCTATGTGCATCTTCATATAACGCTCTCACACTCAGTGTGGTACCTTTTCTAAGACTCATCTACTTTTGAATTTCCTTTTAACAGAATACTACCTATGAATTAAACTTGTATAATTGGGTATTCCTAAGATGGCAAGCAGCTAAGAGGCCATCATAATGTGAATTCTTTTTCCCTTTGTTTTCAAATTAATTAACTTTTATGGTTTAAAATGTGGAAAAAGATGTTTTAGATTTGTTTTTGTAATAGCCCTTTCCTACTAGGATAAATGCTGCCCAGATATTTTGAAGCGATATTCCACTTTCAGAGCTTGTGTAAAATGTTTTCATTTTCATAAATTTAATTCACACAAGGATAATGAGTACTGTTTGTTTTCTGTGGTCCTGTTTCTGATTCATACTGAACCTTTTGTTTCCTCTTTGAGATACACTAGCTAGCTTTACTATGTATGCTGACAAGAAGAGAAGCTTCCTTTTTTTTCAGTTATTCTTTGCCCTAAGAAACCACATTTTTCTACCAGAGAGAAGCAAGTCAGGGGAGCCTGTGTGGATACTCTGAAACAGACACATAATTCCATTGCAAATCATTCTTTAATACCTTCTCATTAACTTCAGCTGGTAATGAGAACAAATTGAGGGGAAAAACCACCATGTCATAGGGATGAGTCAAAAAGTTTTATGAACCTATAAATGTAGAGCTGATTTACTCAAATGTAGAAGTGTGAAGTATACAGAGATTGGATTTTGACAGCTTTAGTGGATCCATAGCTTTTTAAAATATGCAAAGCTTTCTCAAGCATGACATGTATGAAAATGAATAATGATAGCCAGCCAGTTGCTGTAGTTTTTTTAATTAAACATTTTTCTTTTTTTTTATTACTCTGCACTGCAGAATTTTACAAACATGGAACTCACAGATTAAAAGAAACAGTATTAAAGCAGATACATGTGGAACAGGTCAGATGAGTGCATTTTTCCCCCTTGTATTGAGCCAGTTAGTCCATTGCCCTTCTTGACATTCACTGGTACGTGTGATGGTAAATGTTAACACTCCTGATAACTCGTCAAAGATTATTCACTCACAAGCCCTCCTGCTAGTTATTGTCTGCCCAGTAAAGTGTATAGTGTACTCTCTTCTTTCTTTCATTTTTATTCCAAATGGAATTGTTTTAAGAAGAAGCTACTCAAAATTTTATGATAAAGTACAGGGTATAAAAATCAATGAATTTGGAATATCGCAAAAATACTAGCATTGGGAAAATACAGTAATGAGTCAAGAGGATTGTTTTAATGTGTACAAATGTGTGTGTGTGTAAATGTGTATGTGTGGACGTATAGTATTTCCTCCCAAGACACGACAGTGAAAATAGCATGGCAAGAATTTTTCATCTCTGCAATAGCTTTATTGTGCATTCAGGTGGAAAAACATAAAATTTAATGTCTAGAGCAACACCATCCAATAGAAAAACAGGGTGAGCCACAAGTGAGAGCTACTTAAGTAATTTTAATTTTTCTAGTAGTTGCGTTAAAAAAACGTGAAATTAATTGTAATAATGTTTTAGTTAACTTGTATCCAAAATATTGTCATTTTTACAATGTAATCATTGTAAAAGATATTGTGATATTTTATATTCTTTNTACAGTTATAGAGTAGCAACGAAAATAATTTTATGGTTGGGGGTCACCACAACATGAGGAACTGTATTAAGGGGTCACGGCATTAGGAAGGTTGAGAACCGCTGCTCTAGGCCATTATAAATTGTGTGACAAAAAGTATTTTCCTGTTAACATTAGTTTTTAAACAGCCCATATCCAAGATATAGTCCATCTTTAGAAAGTGTGTAGGATATAAATTTTAGTGTATTTAGCTTCACTTGTTTCTACATCTTATTTTTTCTTTCCCTTAATCTAGATTTTTCCCACTTTTTAAAAATAACTCTTTTACTGATTTATGTCACATTTTTATTTGCTACCTTGAATTATTTTTACCTGAAATGTAAACAAATGACACTTTTCTTTCTTTTGTCCTCTGGAGTTACTGTTCTATTTCCTCACCAAATTCAAATACCCTCAGTTCTTTCTTGTAGTTATGCATTCCATTCTATAAACCTGACTTCTCACATGTACTCTATCTAGTCTTGTATTTTTGGGGGTGCCTTTAAGAAATATCCTTAATATTGACATGTCTGTCTCCTCCCAAAGCAGATACCATATTGTGGTCATTTTGGATCACAATTTTCCTTTCGCAGCCTAGAAGCTTTATAATTTATTTATTTTTCTTCATTTTCTAAATAGTTTTATCATTGCATTTTTATAATGACTTTTTCTGACATGTCCATTGTAGTCAGTCTGCTTTCCTCATTCTTTTAACCCCTATTTGGCCCTGCCTCTGGTTCCTAGCCACCACCAGACCACCATGTATGTAGTTAGCCTCTGAGCCTGACCTTCCTGCTGCCTGCTCCTGTGAGGTTCCTTTCCTGATCTGAAATTTGCAGTGCTCATCTGTTACTTATGGGTGCATCCCTAACTCTGACCATTTCACAATGTAGCTGAGTGATTAAATACAACTGAAAAAAAATGACTTTGCAAGATTATCACTTTGCAAAAAGCCCTTGCTTTGAAGAGGCTACCATAAGACAGCTATCAAAGGACTGGTGTAGTTAAATGCACTCTGAGAAAATCCAAATCAAAAAGTTTTATGTAAAAGACTTCTAGCGCTTAGGTTTTAAGATAAGCACCCTTAGAAGATGTAATTGAGATATTTCCAGAGGAGACGCTCATCTCTTACTGTGGGGCTGGGCCCCGGGGGTTTAAAGCACAATTGTTGCCTTGTTGACGGTAGTTTGATGCTTAGACAGCCTTCTTCAAAGTCAGCGTTTTCTTTTTTTTCCTCTCCCCAGAGTAGCAAAGACTCTGGCAAGAGTATTTTCAGATTATCTACTGCAGGATTACCAAACCCATATGGAGTGGTCCACTCCTCACGCTATTTAACGGCCTGATGGGGCAGAGTGGCCATCCTGCTGTTCCACTAAACCATCCCATTATGCCACACAAATCCGTTTGACTGCCCACCAGGGCATCATTTACTGCAATGCAGCAGTAAAGTAAGGCCACCCGAGTGGCCTCAGTTACTGGAGAGCTTACATTTTTCCTGGGAGTGATTTATGTATTGGGAGACAACTGGCTGACCTGCTGTATAACTTGGTTGCACAGATTAAACCTTGGCATCATCTGGGCCTCTTACTGAGCAGTTTCTCACACCCATCCTTGCCAAGAAGTGTGTTAGGATGCGAGCAGACTTGCTGTTCCTGGCTAGATAGTTCAGATAGATGCGTTTGGATATGTATTCACTCCCAGCTTGTTTACTTCTGTCTCAGTTTAATGTGTCTGTAAGATCCAAAGTAGTCTTTTCTTCCTTCTTTCATAGATAATAGTGGCATCTGAGGTTTATAGTCTATTTATGCTATTAAATGTTCTTAGGATTCACCCTCGATACCTTAGTCTCACTCTTTGGGGGAGAGTTGCACAGTTATTTTATTCCCGATTTACAACATTACACGCCATTATAAACTGTTCTATGTTGGAGTTAGTAAAGTGTTATGAAATAGAAATTGGAAGCTTTTTTGCTTTTTTCTTGGCAGACAGTTTCATAACTCTTGGTTTTAAGATGCAGTATGAATAGATTATCTGAGGCCCTCACCAAATTTGAAAGATGTAGGGATTTTTTTTTCAAATCATATAATTTTGTTGGGGTTAGCATTGTATGAGTTTATGTTTCTTAAATCTGTCTCTTACCTTCTTAACTTATATGTGATGGATTCATCACTTTCCATCAGGATGTTTTGCAGTTTTTAGTCCTTAAAAATGTAATTAACACCGAGAGTCCTTTTTGATGTATTAGTGCGTCTAATGCGCACTTAAAAAGACATAACCTTGTCAGAGGCATCTCTTTGTAATGCTAATAGTGATGCAGTTATTTTCATCTGTCTTTTTGCTGACTTCATTTTCATTCTCATTTCAGGCATAAACTTCTAAAACGTTGTGCTGTAGGACCCAATCGACCTCCCACAATATCTCAACCAGGGTTCAGTGCAGGACCATCATCATCTTCATCCTTACCACCTCCGGCTTCTTCTAAGCACAAAACAACAGAAAGACAGGAAAAGGGAGACAAGTTGCAAAAGAGACCCTTGATACCATTTCACCACAGGCCCTCCGTGGCTGAAGAGTTATGCATGGAGCAAGACCCACCGGGACAGAAGCTAGGGTTGGCAGGGATGGACTCCTCCTTGGAGGTGTCGAGCAGCAGGAAGTATGATAAGCAAATGGCCGTGCCTTCCAGAAATACAAGCAAGCAAATGAATCTGAATCCTATGGATTCACCTCATTCCCCCATTTCCCCTTTGCCACCGACACTCAGCCCTCAGCCACGAGGTCAGGAAACGGAGAGTTTGGACCCGCCATCTGTCCCTGTGAATCCAGCCCTCTACGGAAACGGGCTCGAACTCCAGCAGCTGTCTACTCTGGATGACAGAACTGTCCTCGTAGGCCAAAGACTGCCCCTGATGGCAGAGGTCAGCGAGACAGCCTTATATTGTGGGATTAGGCCCTCGAACCTGGAGTCATCGGATAAGTGGTGGCATAGCTTTTGTCTCCCACCCATCGATGATGCTGAGTTCCGGCCTCCAGAGCTCCAGACTGAGAGATGTGATGACAAACTGGAGGTAAACTCAGAGAGCACTGCATTGCAAAGGTAAGGCGGCTGTCCGCACCGTCCACCTGATCACCCACCTAAAGGCCCCCAAGAACCAGGGGCTTTCCTCCTCACCTGTCCTTGCAAAACCTTCACTCCAAAATGAAGAGGCTTCCCTTCANGGAGTTCCAGAAAAGGATCATTTTCTGCTGGTGGCCTTCTCCATTATTGATATTCTATTGTGTAACCGATACCACCATTCAATGAATGTATTTCTGATACCAAATAGGGCTCCTGGCTATGGGAAGGGATTTTTTTTAGAGGTCCTGCCTGTTGAAATAAGTGGCTTAGTCTCTTTTGTTCCTTTTTCTTGTTCAGCAGTTGCAGACCTGCAGAGGATGTTCCCCACCCCTCCGTCTTTGGAGCAGCACCCTGCGTTTTCTCCTGTGATGAATTATAAAGATGGAATCAGTTCAGAGACAGCCACAGCGTTAGGCATGATGGAGAGCCCGATGGTCAGCATGGTTTCCACACAGCTCACTGAGTTCAAGATGGAAGTGGAAGACGGATTAGGAAGCCCCAAGCCCGAGGAAATAAAGGTAATTGCCCACACAGTCACTTTACCAAGGCAGCGTGGTTTTCAAGTGGGTTCGCTACATCTTCTCTAAAATAATACTACCTATATACCATGTATACCTAAGTTTCTAAGAGTCCTCTAAGGACATTGCTTGGTGTATTCATTATAGTGTTTTTTGATTAGTTTAAAATGTTGGCATTAGCATTTTTCTACTGATCTGATAAGAGAAACACTGAATTAGGGTCATTTTTGTTACTACTTGATAATGCCCTCAGTCATTCACCAGCGCTATCACTGACCTCACTTTGTTCTCGCAGGACTTCTCATATGTGCACAAAGTTCCAGCGTTTCAGCCTTTTGTGGGATCCTCCATGTTTGCTCCGCTGAAGATGTTGCCGAGCCAATGCCTGCTACCTCTGAAGATACCCGATGCCTGTCTGTTTCGGCCTTCGTGGGCAATCCCTCCTAAAATCGAACAGCTGCCCATGCCCCCTGCAGCCACTTTCATTAGAGATGGCTACAAGTACGTGCAGGGACTGTGGCTACTTACCTACCGTATTGAATGTGGCTTTTATCTCAACTAAATATTTATTAAAAATGAGGATGGTAACATCTTATTTGCAGCTTTTATTGGCCACTCATGTTTTCAGCACATTATTTCACATTGAAAATCTGCATTATTTTCTAATCTAAATTTCATGTGCATGGAGAAATTAAGGTTATTTGTGTAGAGAATCGTGGTGTTCTTGCTGATTCAATGTCAGATCAGTGCCTACCACAGAATCAAGCCCTAGACCGGAGTTGGTAGTATTTTGGGGGTGGGTAGTGGTGGTGAGTGCTTTGTTTTATAGAAATTGATGATTTTAAATGTGTTGACTTAAGGCCCCTTGAAGTGAAGTATTAACTTAGATAATGTGTCTGTTACCGATCCCACATGGAAGAAAGCAGCAACAGAATGGTGGGCGGTGTGGGGGAAGGGAAGGGAGGATCTCATCATAGCTTGGGCATATTTCATGCCGTCCAGAAAGTAGCACTTAAGTCAACAGCATAGAATCAGTTTCTTTTATGATTCATAAATCCTTAATAAAATAATTTAAGTGCTATAAAATAAAAAGCCACAAACTCAAATTTCTGTTGGGACTAGGTGATCAGTGTGGTGCTGACATGGACTGAGTAAAGCAGAAGACGAGGCACTGTGATGCGCCTGTCATTGCAAGGACAGTAAGGGACAGTGGGCCAGCAGGTCCGTGATGAGCTGTTGAGAGACCGTCCCGTTGAAAGGGACGTTTGCTATTCAGCTGCAGCAAGTTGTTCAGGCAGAATGTGGGAGACTGGAGATCTGGATTTTTATGTAAATTCCCTTTTTAAAAATGTTGACAGGTTGACAGTTAATTCACAGTTGCATTTTAGGAGCCAATAAGACAAATTTGTGGTCTAGGTGCAGTCTGTGGGTACTTATCATGACTTCGTATACGACCATCTTAGTGAAAGCAGCTTTAATGTCATAAACCGGCTTTACGCTTGTTTATGTCAAGTCAATATTGGAATGAAAAACTGACAGAGAAGTAGTATGAAAGAACCCTAGACCTGAGAATATAGTGTCACAGGACTCAAAGTCCTGCCTTTTCTGTTCGTTCTATGTCTGACCTGAAATGACCATTTTACTTGAGCCTTCCCTTCTTTAAAATGGGATAATCCTGCCCTACTTCACCGGCCTTTTTGAAAGGCTCCCACAGCTGATGGTTGTGGAAGTACTGTGGAAATCACAATTCACCAGCAGTTTGAAAGAGTGTACTCAGAAGGACTCTGGAGGGGAGCACCTAGCCTGTTTTCCGCTGCTGTGCTCCAGCCCTGCTCTCGCTTATTTAATTATAGGCGGGTACAGTACCACTGGTGTGGCCAGCACACCATTCACAAACAATGCAGCAGCTTCAGAAACTTAATCGACAGCTGAATCTCTTACACAGTCTCCTCAAAAAAGTGATGTGCAACCAACCCTTTGCTGGATGATAGATTAAGTGTTAAATAATTCAGATCTTTGTTTAGATCTATTAACTCTATCATTTGCCATCCAGAGATTCTGGGTATTCTAAACGGGCACTGTTAATAGAACTTTCTGTGATGAAGGAAGTGTTTGTTGTTTTGTGTCTACCTGCACGTTCCACTATAGCACCTCCCACTCTCCTGGGGGTAGCTGTTTGCCACTTGAATAGTGGCTAGTTGAGATCAAGACTGAATTTTTNTTCCTTGGGTTTTGTTTGTCGATGGTTTTTCTTCATTAGTGTTACTCTTAGTATAAATACTAGTGGCTTTCATGTGTATTTAAAAAAATCCTTCTAAATATCATGAGACTAATAGAAATATATCATGTAGTCCCGTTAGCTCGGTTTTTAAAAAATAATGCCCACCTAACGTTTTAATTTCTCTAATAAAGTCAGAGGCTCGTCTGCATTTTGAGAGAGATGCAAGTATGACCTATACTTTTTTAGGATTATGGCATCACAGTAGGGAAATAGAATTTATGCACAAAGAAGTTAAATAATACAAGGCATCATGTGGTTAAAGTGACAGATAGCAATTATAATTCTTTGGAGAACAGCTGAACAGGATCATGAAATTTGTGTCCTTGTCCTCCTAATCCACTCTGTTCCTTAGGGCAAATAGAAGTGCCTGTTATTCCTGGGGGACTTAGAGATGTGTAAGATTGGCCCTCTCTTCAAGAAAATCAATTTATTAGCTTATTTTTCTTTCATTTATGTATTTATCTTCCTTCCCATCCATCCATTTTATATATATGTATTTATTAATCATTTGATTATCAGTTTGTACTCAAGGTTACAAATAGTATTAAATTACCACTGTTGTACCTGAAACACTTACAGACTTCAGGAGGAACAGCATATAAACACAGTTAAAAATATATTTCTTGCTGGAGGGGAGTAATTAACTTGTATCTAAAGATGCTGGACGTTCAAGTACAAAGTGACGAGTGAGTGGTGTTTAACTTAAGCTTGAAGGTTAAGTAGGAATCAGATTTCTAAAGCCCTTTCTCACTTTAAAATAAAATGTACCTGATGAACAGATATTATACCCCATTGGTATTATAAATACATACTTAGACGATGATGAGATCACAATGTCTTTAAGTAATAGATGGGACCTGAAATGTGGAAAGACTGGGCTAGCGAGAAGCTGGGGAGGAACATTCGTTCGAGCCTGGAATGAGCCTTGGTTAGGCAGCAAGAATGGACTAGCTGGGCATTGGTCTGTTTTCTGAATGGTGGTTAAAGATTAACAGGGTGAGAGAGGTTTTGGCCATGCTTAGTGCTGCTGTGGACTTGATACTCTACCAGCTNCTGTCTGTCTGTCTGTTGCAGTAATGTGCCTAGCGTCGGGAGCCTAGCAGACCCAGACTATCTGAACACACCACAGATGAACACACCAGTGACGCTCAACAGCGCAGCCCCAGCCAGCAACAGTGGAGCAGGAGTTTTGCCATCTCCAGCAACCCCTCGCTTCTCTGTCCCCACGCCACGAACCCCCAGGACCCCAAGAACTCCCAGAGGCGGGGGCACTGCCAGTGGTCAGGGGTCTGTCAAATACGACAGCACCGATCAGGGGTCACCAGCCTCTACGCCCTCCACCACGCGGCCCCTGAACTCTGTGGAGCCCGCCACCATGCAGCCGATTCCTGAGGCCCACAGTCTCTATGTCACCCTGATTCTCTCCGATTCTGTGATGAATATCTTTAAAGACAGAAACTTTGACAGCTGTTGCATCTGTGCTTGCAACATGAACATCAAAGGGGCAGATGTCGGGCTTTACATCCCCGATTCTTCCAATGAGGACCAGTACCGCTGTACCTGTGGGTTTAGTGCGATTATGAATCGCAAACTTGGCTACAATTCAGGACTCTTCCTGGAAGATGAGTTGGATATTTTTGGGAAGAATTCTGACATTGGTCAGGCTGCAGAGAGGCGCTTAATGATGTGTCAGACCACCTTTCTTCCTCAGATGGAGGGAGCCAGAAAACCCCCGGAGCCACCTATCAGCCTTCTTCTCCTCCTGCAGAGCCAACACACACAGCCCTTTGCTTCCCTGAGTTTCCTGGACTACATCTCCTCCAATAATCGCCAAACTCTTCCCTGTGTAAGCTGGAGTTATGACCGGGTGCAAGCAGACAATAACGATTACTGGACGGAATGCTTTAATGCCTTGGAGCAGGGCCGGCAGTATGTGGATAATCCCACGGGTGGAAAAGTGGACGAAGCGCTGGTGAGAAGTGCCACTGTGCACTCTTGGCCTCATAGCAACGGTAAGTTTCCCAGAATACAAGTTGACTCTGAAAATGATCTTCGTGTGATGATGCTAACTTACACGCTTTCCTTACTTTGTTATATGGCAACATTTTAAATTTCATGTCTTAAAAAAAAAAAAAAAGTGAGAGCTATGTTGGTGTCATCCTAAGTTTAAGGACTAGGGAAATGTTTTACATTTAAACACCTTTGGACAGTAGTAATGATTTTGTGAACATTTCCTCTTGTATTAATTCATACAGGCATTCATTTTGGAAACGTGTGACTGCTGAGTATCCGAGTCACCAAAAGTGGACAAACTGATAACTTGCACACCCATTCATGTTTACATCCACTCCTTCTAGGTTAGGTTGCCGTGATACTTCCTCCATGAAGCCTTCTACCCAGTTCTAGAGTATTTTCTCCTTCCTCCAGCTTCCCAGTACTTTCTACCTCTTGTAACAGTGATCACATTTTACGTTGTGTTGGGGTGGCTGGGGCATGTCACTGGCTCTTCTATTATTGAAGGCTCCGGTTGACAAACATTTTTGGAGTTGAGCTCTAAGAGTGTCAAGCAACTTACTGTTGGCTTCCCTTATTCATTCACTATCAGTGAGGTGGTACATCCTGGGGGATAAAATGGTGAGGGAAAGAGACACGGTGCCTACCCTCAGGGACTTTCTAATCTATTCTGGAAAATGCACGGCAATCAAATAANAGAGGTAAAATAGCAACTTGCTCCTCCCCTCCATCTTGTTAAGGTCTCAGGTAATGTTGGCTTTTGTCCCAGGTCATGTTGGCATTCCATTACTGTATGTATTTACAGCTAATTTTTGCATTCTACGTAAGTGCAAATTTTTATGTGCATGTATGTTCTTTAAAAGCTATTTAAAGTTGCCTAAAGAAGTCGTGTTTAATTTTTTCCACATTTGCAAAACTTAGCAGCATGACTTGGTATTAACTGCTTAATTTTAACCCAGATTCCCAAGAGAATCTAAGAAGCTTGTTAAGCTGTATATGCATAGGAGCCTAGGATACCTTGATGGCTGTAGAATATATGGCCTCCCACTCGTCAGTGAGGGCATATGGAGTCAGTCTGTAAGGAAAATGTAACAAGTGATTAATTTTCTCTTTTCAAGTTCGGTTTTTCTCCAGAATTTATAATAAGTAGTTCATTCTGTGTTCATTTCTGTGTTTGAAGGACATATAAGCATATGTTCAAGTGTGGAGATAGCATTTTGGGGTGTCACACCAGAGTATTGCAGCCTGAAAGCATAATTTTTTAAAAAGCGACCACCAAATTTTTGATTGTCTGATACTGCAGAATGTCACTAGAGTCACCTGTGTGCATGTCCTCTTTCAGCACCTTACCTAGCCACTCTGCAGCTCGACAGCGGCCTGCTGATACCACCTAAGTACCAGACCCCACCAGCAGCAGCACAGGGACAAGCTCCTCCTGGGAACGCCGGGCCTTTACCTTCAAATTCAGGATCAGCAGTGCCCCCCGCTGGCAGCGCATTTAATCCCACCTCCAGTGGGAGCTCTGCGAACCCTGCAGCAAGCAGTTCCTCTTCCGGTTCCTCGGTGCCCCCGGTGTCATCATCTGCCTCTGCTCCTGTGGTCAACCAGATGAGCACTACCTCTTCGTCAGGATTCACTGGTAGTGTCGGAGGGCAGAACCCCAGTGCTGGGGCCAGCTCTGCTGACAGGACACAAGGGAACCTCAGCTGTGGTGGAGACACGGAGCCGGGGCAGAGCAACCCTCAGCCCCCGCCGGACGGACAAGAAAGGTACGTGACTCACTGCCGGGGCTGAGCGGCTTCCGCTTGGACCCCTTCTCTCCTCTTCTTCTGCACACCTGTCTCCCTCAGCCTCACGAGGCTCTAAATCCAGGAAACACTCTGTTTCTCTTCTTCCTGAAAGAAAGCGACAGCTGTCAGTTAGTAGCTTCCGTGTTAAGAAATCTGCGACTTCTTATAACCTAACCTTTTAACTTATTTTTAAACTTATTAGCTTAATAGTAAGCTGCTACTATTAATACAAATGTT